AAGTAGGCACACTCCTGGAGAAGTGCAGCTCCCAAGTAGTCCTAAATCACTGTGAGTATTTTGTTGTGATGACAGTAGCACCCCACAGAGCTCTACTCCAAAGCTTGCCCAAGATGACAAGAAGCTGTTAAGTTATAAACACTCAGCTGTCCTGTGGTTGATGTGAGTGGGCCTGAGGCAAGATGTCTGTTGCCTGGTGCAGGCAGTATGACTGCACACTAAGTTAAAAGAGGAGCCATGGGACTGTGCTGGCCATGGCCCTTCATTTCAAGACAGCTGGAATAATAACAATAATAAGATATGTGTGCCTGTGCTGGTGAGACATGAAAGTATGCAGTGCTGTACCACAGGGTACTCTTGCAAAATGTAGTGTGAATGCGGCATTTGTGCTCCAAAGAAGGCTGGGACTTCTCCAGTACGGATGACAGAGACATGCCTTCCAGCCTAGGCACTGACATGTTCATCTCAACAGTCAGTAAACATGTAGCCAAGGTAGAAATCTGTGTGGAGTTCTGTGCCTAAACTTCTACACAAGTCACAAAATCTATGTCTTGGCTGCTTAGATATTTCTGGGGGTACACCTGTCCTAACGCTTATTTCCACGTAATGCTCCTTGAACACAGTTGAGCAACAGTGGAATTGTAATAGTGGTCTCTCTTGAAATGGTGTGCAGCCAAGCATGCAAAATTTTTGAAGCCAGAGAGCAGTTAAGAAGAAGGGTCTTGGGCTGATGATCCAGAGATCAGGCTTGACTCAAGAGAAAATGGAGAATGGGAAATACCAGATTTTGCTCTGTACTCTAGGGTCTACCTCTCCGTTTTATTAAAAAACCTGAGCAGTCAGGCTACCATCCTGAAATGTGCGAGATTTGGACTCAAACATTCTTGGACTGAGAAATGTTTAGATTTTGGCTTTTCTGTATACTTGACCAGTGCTCTAATAAACTTTAGGACACAAAGTGTCTATATTACCAAAGTGCAGAAGGAGGCATTTCTTATTAAGGATTTTTTAAAAAGTCTTTATTCTTAAGATGGAGTGAATGGTGGTAGAAGCAGGATAATATATAATTCGCTATCATCTGTTCTTCAGAGAGGAAGTAATAAAAATGTCAAATGCAAGAAAAATGTTGATTAAAATACAGGTAAGGTGTAGTGAGGACCAAAGAATAAAAGAAATGTGTTACCAAGCAATTATTTTCAGGAATTATTATCAAGAATTAGAGTCCCATTTGAGCAGGGAGCCTAAGAGCTAGTGCTCATATAAATTTCACATGCATAGATGTTTCTATGTAAATGATAGTGTATTTGGTTTCTGTGATTTTTTTTTTTTTTTTTTTTGCAGTGGTAGAGGTCTATGGAAATAGCCCCTGTAAGAAGCTGCTAGAAGGTCTCCTGGCTCCAATTTTGGACCCACCTCTGACCAGGGCCAAGCCAGTCAGTGCCTCTGGGAACTGATGTATTTAAAGAGACCATCTCTTGCCCTGGCCCCGGCCAGCGTGGTCCCAGTGTAGGCAGTGCAGACCCAGCCAGGCCCAATTTAAGCTGAAACCCCACTGCAACTCCAGATCAAGACAATTGGGAACTCTGCAAGAACCAGCATAAGAAACCTGCAGTGGAGAAAGGAGTGGTATGTGAGGAAAAAAATTGTGCAGACATCAAGGTCAGTGAAGAAAAGAGGAGAAGGGGGAGGAGGAAGTGCATGGAGCAGAGGTTCCCCTGCAGCCTGTGACAAGAGCACAAGTCAACCTGCCTGCAGCCTGTGCAGCAGTGGAGTAGAGAACCACATGAGAAGGTGGCCGCCCCTCCAGAACCTATGACTCCATGGGCAATGTGTGTTGGAGCAGTCTGTGGGAAGGATTGCACCATGCGGAAGGCAAGCCCATAGAGGAGCAGTTGGTGAGGAAACTGCAGCTGTGGACAGACCCCCTAGAGAAGTTCATGGAGGACTTTTGTCCTGTGGGAGGGATGCCATGTGGAAGCAGAGGAAGAGTGTGAGGAGTCTTCCCTACCCCTGAAGAGGAAGGAGCAGCGGAGACTGCATGGGATGAACTGACTGCAACCCCCATTCCCATTCCCTTTTTGTGCCGCTGGGGTGGGGAGAGCTAAAGAAACCGGGAACAAAGCTGAGTGCGGGAAGAAGGAAAGAGCGAGGGGAAGGTGTTGACTTTAAGATCTGGTTGCATCTCTCAGTATTCTATTCATATGCTAATGGTAACAAATTAAACTGTTTGTTTTTCTCCCCAGGATGATTTCTTTTGTCCGTGGCCATAAGTGGTGAGCAAAACCCCTCCCTGTTCTTTTTTGCCTAAGCCCACAAGCTCTTTGTTATATTTTTCTTCACCTCATCTCATATGGAGGGGAGAAGTGAGTGAATGGCCTTGTGGTGCTCAGTTGCCAACTGGGCTTAAACCATGACAGATAGTTTTTAAAATAAATATAATGGGTCTATTATACTGCCCAGCTTTTAGTGGGAATGCTAGCCCAGTGGAGGTTCTGTAACCTGATGTAATTAAAGCAATGGATGAACACCGTAATTCCAGTATACAAATTATGTAGGAATGGTAGACTGTGCTAGTTTAGACATGATTTTAAAAAAGCTTACTGTCAAATAAGTAAGGTTGTTGCCTTTAGTAACGGGTATTACAGAAACTGTCTGGACTGAAACACTGTTCTCGCATGGAAAGAATGTAATGTCAGAGCAGTGGTACTATCCAGTTTATTCAGAAGGTTACAGAGGTGTGCTAAGAAATACCAGAAACAGCAAGAGAGAAGAAAACTTAGTAAGTGAGCAGCATCAGTCATTTTTATGGAAACTGGAGGAGTAAACCTCAGGGCTGGATGCAGAAATAAAATTTATAAACACTGCGAATGACTGTTGCTTGGAGCAAGTAATCACAGACCCCATAGGAAGACAAAGAACTCTTGATCCTTTTCCAAGCAGCCACTCAAAAAGCTGCTCTTCAATAGTGGCACAAGTTCAATGTCCAAACAAATATGCTATGCTAATGTATAAGTAAAAAAGGAACTATATAAAATAAGTGAGTCTCCAAAAGGAAATTAAAAGGAGTAGTAGAACTTTCCAGGCACGAGGAGCTTCTTTA